TTCCGAAAAACAAGCGCGACCACTGAAAATAGACCTAAATTCACTGGTGGGGCAAAACTTATGGACGAAATGGATTATGTAATATGAAGCATCAGGGACTCGGTGGAAATAAGTGAAAATGTGGGAGTGTGTATATTGCCAGACCCATAACGGGTATGCGAAGGAAGCTGGACTTTCTTTCGTGGAGGAATTGTCCAAATGAGGCACAAAATGTGACTGCCCACGCAAGTCGAAGCAGTTGATAGGTAGGAGAAAACAAAATTTTGTTAATCAACGAGTAGCTACAGAGTACAGTTGTGATATCCTTCTATACATCATGTCCCGCAGACATCATCTATATGACTTCACACAAGGAAGGATTAGCGGGAAACTCGAAGAAGGTCGGACCATGACCAGTGCGGCTCAGGAGCTAGGTATCGTTCACAACGTTGTTTCAGGGGCATGGAGAGCATTCCGAATCATTGGTGCTGCTGCCAGAAGGAGAGGAGATAACCCACCAAAATCAACTACACCAAGGGAAGACGGCTACATTGCGCAGCAGGCAAGAGAGATCCACATCAACTAGCTTCGGTGATTGCAATGACGTTTACCAGGACTTCAAGGCAAGCCGTCTCGCGCACCATTGTGGCTCGACGACTGCACGGTGACGGTCTCTCGCCGACCGCTACGCTGTGTTCCTTTGACCCTCGCGCATCGGCAAGACCGTTTAGCGTGGTGCCAGGAGCATAGCGAATGGACCGATAAATATCGCGAGAGGTGGGAACACGCAACTCTCCTCCCAAAAACATCGTCGAGCGGGGCCGTTCTGGTGGTCGAGGTGTTATGGTATGGGGAGGCATCATGATGCATAGCCGTACTGATCTTCAGATCATTGAGCGTGGAACCCTTACCGGTCAGCGTTACTTTGACGAAGTACTTTTTCCTCATTTGCGTCTTTTCAGGGCTGCAGTGTGCCCTGAATTCATTTTTTTTCATTTCTTGGACCGACAATGCGCGACCGCACCGAAGAGCACAGATGGAGAAAAGCCTGGTACGAGAGAATATCCGGCGTTCCCCCGACCTGGATCTCATCGAGCACGTGTGGAATGCACTGGGTAGACGTCCAAATGCACCAGTGACCATCCAGCAG